GCAGTTATGTAATTTTCAACAATTACTAATTATTTCTTTTGCTGCCAGAATTCATTAAACGCAAAAGTGTTAGAGCCTGGAGATGCTGCCAATAATACGGTTTTATTGAGCTCTCAGTCCCAAGTGTAACACCACAGCTTTCCCCACTGCTGTGAAACTGTTCTGATTTAGCAGAAGTGCTAAAAACTGACCTTCTCAGTTTGGTAGTTTACTCAGGAACTTCCCTCATCGTGACACTGATCCATGCATCATTACTTTAACAAGATTCCATTGCTTCAGTAACAATCAAACATAAAGACAGGGATCAAACAAACTAAAATTACATTTTTTTTTTCTCCTTTAGATCCAAAAATAACTTTACGAGCACTAAATGGTCACAGACAGAAGTAAAGAGAACAAACCCGCGGTGGCCATGGCTGCGATGCAAAAGATGCCGAAGAGCTCTGGCTCCTTCTGGAAATTTAGCAAGTTGCTGGGTTGCAGTTACAGCCTGGATAGGGATGGAGGAACTGGGCAGTGCAGCAGGCAGAACATCTTACTGCGACTGCATTGTACAAGCTCAGCAGGCGTCCCTCTGGTGGTGATCATGAAAAACTGCATCCATTCTTCGCATCTACTGGTGCAATCGAGGGGCAATCCCAATAGTGATGAAGCACACAGGCTGCAGATTAAAGGAGACGGTGGCCCAGCCCGGAAAAAAATAAATAAAAAAATGGATATAACAAAGAGACAATATCCAACTACTATGGAGCGTAAAGTCTTATTTTGTGAGCATTTTTTTTTAATTCATGGGAAAAATTTTTGAATAAATGGCATATTTTGTTTTGAGAAAATCTGAATAATTGCATCTACTTTCCAGCTATTAATGTCCAGAGAGATGAGTTTGCATGCAGTGAATGCAGCCCATCCCATGTTCTCTGTTGCAGTGTTGGGGGAATACACCCTTATGCAGTGTTTCCTCTTACAGCAGCTCTACCAGCACACTAGAGTGTAAAGCTGCCATTTAGCAGCTTGAAGACCAAAGAAGGGTGCAATGTAGTTCTTAAAGAAAATCTTTTTGAATGCTGCATAATGCAGTGAGTCCTCCCACACTGCTGATAGTTACAACTGCATGTGTAACTGAATGGTGTGCAGCGTCAGCAGAAACATGAGCGCAGCACACCAGATGGCCACACTCGCAGTTCTACAACCATATATATATATATATATATATATATATATATATATATATATATATATATATATATATATATATATATATATATATATAAAGAAATATATATAAAAAAATTTTTTTTTTTTTTATATATTTTTTTTTTT